TATATATATAAAACAAATTCCCCATATTGTTGTGGTAATGTGCTGCAATTTATTTATCGTTGTTTTGAAAATCTATTTGTTTAAAGTGTTTTTTTTTTATTCTATTTAGTTTGCATTCACATTATAGTCATTATATTATAATTTTAAAACAATCGAATATTAAATATGAAAGTATTTTTCACTTGTTCATATTGTAGTGGTTATTATAGTTGCAATTTATTTTTCATTCTTTAAAGATTGATTGATTGATTTTTCTCTCTCATTCATATGTCCGTCTCGTCTGTTCAGGTGCCTCTTCTATGTGCCAGTGTTGTCCTGGGAGAGTTGAGAGCTGATTGGTTGTTGGCTATGTCCGTCACAGAATGGTGCCTAGGGATCCACCTCCTCTTCTCTGTCTGACTATAAACTTACAGAAAAACATACACAGATTCATGCTTTGCCAAACACACACACATACACACGCCACACTTAAGATTCAAACACTTACACCATTAGGTTTCAGCACTGTTCTGCTTTATCTAGTGGGGAAAAGACAAGCACAATCACACACACACAGACGTATCTTCAAACCGTATCTGTTCTATCACTGCTGCTCAAATAACCCGAAAATCTGCACTACTAATAGCTCATATCCACAAGGGGATCACTGAAGCTGGGATTCTGGGAGTGACGTACAGATGAAGGACAGGTAAATGAGACTTTGCGAACTGCTGTGTGAGAGAAAGAGACCCGGACAGTTGCAGACTCTCTCGGATATGAAAGAAAAGTGAGCGGTGAAGGTTCAGGACGTCTGACGCCTATCTCTCTTCAGGACCAGGGACACGTGTTTTTCAGGATGACGGCGTGAAGCAGAAATCCGTCTGCATGCATGCGAGGATCAGCTGGGTGACTGTCTGCTCTGATGCCTCTTTCCCTTTCGTCTTTAGTTTTTATGATTTTGTTTTTCTATTTAATTGGCCTCTTCATCTCTTCTGTATGGTTCTGCTAGGCATTGTATGTCTTTGTCACTCAATGTCTGGTTTTATTTCTCTCTGCCTGCTTGCTCATCGAGGGCTGAATCTAGTTGTAAACAAAATTGTCTTGTCAGATTGTGTTGTATATTAAAAAATAGTTTTTTTAAGAAAAAATATTGTGAATAAAGTACTTGACCATGGTTAATGTATCATTCTAAGCCTAAAACATACTTTACACAAGTGATAAAACTTCTTGTGGTTCAAATGCATGCATTTTCTTCTTTGCTCAGTTTTTCTCTTTCAGATCAACTGCTGTCATGGCGGAGTGAAGGTTTGAGGAAAATCTCCCTGAGCAGGTTAGTTAAAGTTAATTAAGCTGTTGA